GCCCCCCCGCCCCCCGGCCCCCCTGCTCTTCAGCAAGGCGCAATTGAGATCCCCTTGATTCTTAGGTGTTTGTGGGACTTGTTGTATGGCTGGAGGGGGTTCATGAATATGGCGGATCACCTTTTGAGGGTTATATGGAAACAGACCAGCACCTCTCCAAGCACTTTGGATATTAAGCTCTGTAATTGCCTTATCCCGCCCTCTTGTATACATCTGGACCCACTCATAGTGCTTAATCCGGATAAAACCTGGTAATGGCATCGATCTCCCGGCCGAGAGCTGTTTTCAATGGACCAAACACCGAAATATCCAGTGGTTGCAGCACATGTGAGCAGTGAGGTGGAAGGATCATAAGATCGATGTTGTTTTCCATGAGTAGGCGATGAACGGGGCAGTAATATGGCTGCTATGGCCATCTGCAATCAGGAGACGGGGGTTGGATCCTGCCTGTTCACGGGTTTCTGGATCAAAAATCTGGGTCAACCAGGCCATTCCATGGCTATCAGATGTCCAACCACTTTTGCTAGCAGAGAATCTCCAGTTTGGCAACCTGATGTTGTGGAATACCGCAAACGCTGGGCGGTGACGATGATGCATTAAGTCAAGATGAGGGAATACGATGGCGACGAGTGCTCTGACGTTGTACTGCCCGACCTCAAAAACGGAGAGCAAGAAATTGTGCTGGTGACGCACGATGAATGCTACTTCAATAGTAACGACGACGTCAGCGCAACGTGGACCGAGAGCGGCGAGTCCATCATTAAGAAGAAGGGCCAAGGCTTAGGTCTTATGGTGTCTGACTTCTACTGCGCCTGCCATGGCTCCCTTCAATTTGAAGGACAATACGCTCGGGAGATAATCGAGCCTGGCAAGAATCGTGACGGCTACTGGGGTTCGGAAGACATGTTCCAACACCTTAGTAAGGCCATGGAAATTTTTGAGAGGTCCCATCCAGGTTGCATAGGTTTGTTTTGCTTCGACCAAAGCAGTAACCACCAAGCGCTTCCTTCTGATGCGCTCACGGTCAGGAAACTTACCTTGAACGACAAGCCCGTGAAGGAGTATATAAAGCCCGGATACTTCGAGATCGAGGGTCACCGCTATAGTCAGGATATATGCTATCCTGAAGGCCACGCACGACATGGATGGCAGAAGGGAATGCGGACGATCCTTCAAGAGCGACGACTCTGGAATGACGGTCTCCCTCGTCTTTGTACGCGGAAGCCAGCCGAGATCGACCTCTCTCAGCCAACACAATGCTGCGCCACGCACTTGTTGTCACAGCAGCCCGACTTGCTGTCGCAGCCGTCACGGCTCGAGATCTCTGTCACAACGCGTGGACATTTGTTCTCGATGTATCCGAAGTTTCATCGCGAATGCAACTTCATCGAACGGGTCTGGTGTTACGCGAAGAGGCATACGCGAGCGGTGTGCGACTATTCCTTCGCGGCGTTGAGTGAAAGGGTTCCCCGCATTTTGTCAGGGTCCCGGTTAATAGTGTCCGCAGCTTCGCTCGTTTAGCCTGGCGCTACATACATGCATACACTAAGGATCTTGATGGGAGGGCGGCAACGTTTGCAGTTAAGAAGTATAAGTCTCATCGCAGACTTCCAGAGAGCTTCGAGCTTGTCTGAGGGATACCGTAGCGTTTGTCCGGTTCGATATGTGGCGCTTCATTGTTTTTGTGATATGTTCGGTTATTGTTCGCGCTGTTTTGCTTGTCTAATTGGCTTCGTGTAGCAATTATTCTCTGTTAACTATTCACTATTCATCTCGTTCATAGTAAAATAATTGGCAAAAATATGGCATCTGGGGTTTGGGTTACCCTTCGTTGTCGGGACTAACCTTTAGGCACCATATTTGTGTGTAAACCCTTGAAGATGATCAAAGATGGTAGAGCTTTGTTATCTGCTGAAATGCATTCAATGGCTGTCATCCATTCCTGACGCTCTGAAATAACTTTTGACTGGCTTTTCTGGGATGTATATCGATGATAACCTTGGTTAGACTGACTTGTTCCGATGCCGTAACCTGCTTCGTCCATGTTGAATACATTACGGGGTTCATTAGTTCTTTTCTGATAACTGCACTTCAATTGCACCAAACCACTGGTCAATCCTCATGCGAACTGTCGCTGGGCGGCTCATCAATATCTGCAGCTCTCCGGCCGAGGTTCACGAAAGCGCGATTTTTGCTGTGAGCTTTCAGTAGTTTGTCGAACACAAGATGGGTTTACTGCTGTTACGTACACGTGGATATTTTGTAGACGATTAGTGGCTATTTTATAGAAGCTTATTTTGGTTCTTTTGATCCGTTGTTGCGTTCAGGGGCAGACCCCCATTTATATAAGTGGTTCTTCTCTCCTCTCCGTTTTAGGGCAGAGATATAGACAAAATATTTATGCCGTTGTTGATAACTGCCCTAACCGCACTTCAAATTGCACGATACCTTCAAAATGGTCACTGCCATCTCAGTTGCTTTGCAAAAATGTAGTTTCAAGAGGGTGCGACCTTGTTTTCCTGCATAGCATTGATACGGCCGGCCCATACTATATGCAAGCTACGCGTCTTCACTCAAGAGTAAAGGTTTTGGAGTTACAGTAAATTAGCATTTAAAGATACCTTTTTATTCTCTACTGAAATTCTATATCGCTAAAATTGTGAACAACACAACCACTCGATATAGAGTACGACTCAGTACAGGGACGCCAAAATACCGGAAAGACTCCGCGGCCAGCACAGGGAACAACGGCGCAAGGGACACTTCATCAAGCGCGGGACCGGTGGGGTAGTAGGTAGGCATTTAGTCGGATGGACATGACTACCGGACGCGCGACAGTAGAGGGGTAATGACTCCGCCAGCCCCCCTTGCTCGGCAAGTGGCCGTAAGAAGACCTTGTCATCTGCAACAGTGACCTCTTGTAAGAGTTGCCAAAATGATCGAGCTCCTTGAGAATATTTGGCCTCCACAGCGGCGTACGACAAGGAGATTTTGTCTCTCCGTCTTTGTTCGCGTTCGCAAAATCGAGCCTCTGCCGTTTTCTTCCGCTTCCCCAGTCAAGGAGAAGGATGCTGGGATCTGATGTGGGGGGTGGTTGAAAGGCATCCAATATAGGACTGGGGACGACGGCTATAAACCCCAACCCTGATCATTGGATGCAACGGAAATATCTACTCATAATGACAAATCGGCAATAGTTTAGTGGCTAGAATTTCCGCCTGTCAGATATTTACATCAGCTCGCGGGGGACCGGGGTTCAATTCCCCGTTGCCGAGAATTTTTTTATCTTCAATGTTCCCCGTCAGCAAATAGTATATGACGCGGCCTTTACAGTGTCAGTCCATGGCGTATTGACACATTTGACTAGACTGCAATACTGTGTAGAGAATAAAATGAAGTACGTTCTGCGGTTGTCGCGAAGTCCATGTGAAACTCCCACGCTTGATCTCAAATTATTTGTAGCCAGTAATGGGCAGCAAATTCCAATCGGATATGATTTCAAGGTATAATAACCGTACTGATTCCACGTGTGAAAGATCCAATTCTTTGATCCAGAGAATATTCCATAAGCTCATTGTAAGGCATTAAACAAAAGATATATCGCGCAGAGAGCCCAAATCAATTAGCCAGAACTTTTCTATCATCACGATGCTATCTGTATATGCACTTTCGAGATTCTATGTAGAATTCGAGCTTTGACCATTCAAAAGTGTAGAGGCACAATAGCTAGTACAGATATAACTCAAAACAAGGTCGAAGAAGAGACAAGATAAAGAACTAACTTGATATGGCAAATAAGATAGCCATGTGAGAATCGAAAAATACAGCATCTCCAAAGACTCCCGATAGATGCTTACATAAATATGACCATTATCTAAAATCCGAAAGGATTTTCTGGAGCTTAAAAAAAAGGTTAGCCTTGTATGATACAGAATCCTGGGAGGACAAAACGAACGTACTCGCAGCTGCCAAATTTGCTTTTCTATTTCCGGTAGGCGTAGCTTCGACAGGATTATTAATACCGAAGCTGACCTTAGGGGCAGGTCCAGTCTTCGTCGGCTGTAGTGGTTTCATCAAGGTAGAGTTAATACCACCTGACATTGCACTTGCGTTACTACCATTGACGGTACCGTTGCCACCGAAAGAGGACGAGCCATTCCCAAATCCATATCCGGTTGGCTGAGATTGCAATGTTTGGACGCCTAAACCATTATTTGGCGATTGCTGGAAACGGGGAACCTGGAAGCCCGTCTGCATCTGCTGAATACCAAACTGAGATTGAGGAATAAAGGGCCGTGTTAATTGAGGCTGCAAAGCAGGCGGACTGGAAAACGCATTCATGCCGAAACCCAGAGAAGGATTTTGGAAACCTGTGGTTTGTACTGGGAATCCAGTTGTCAATGGTACTTGCTGAGGAAATCCAGTAGGCTGTGCGGTAAATGCTGTGAGTCCTCCATTCGATGTCGGCCGGCTTGGTTGAGGAGGTGGGGGCATAGAAAGTGCACCCACAGTACCAAGGGCCTGTGGTTGAGATTGAGGAGGTGCTGGACGTTGTACACCGTAGAAAACTTGCCGTTGAGGCTGCGTCTCCTGCTGCTGTTGTAGTTGCAGTTGTAGTTGCAGTTGCCGTTGTTGTTCTTGTTGATCCTGTTGTTGATTTTGTTGTTGTTGCAGTAGTTGTTGCGTGATGGTTGTCTGAACAGGAATCTCTCCTTGTGGAATTGAAGCAACTTGAGACTGAACTTGAGGTGATAGTTGTGCTTGCATAAGCATGCCGGTGGATTGGGGATATTGAACTCCTATATTCTGTAACTGCGAAGGCTGCGGTGGTGTTGGCTGATACACGAGGTTCGACTGCAGTGGCACATATTGAGTCGGCGGCTGCGATTGTAGGCCTGCATGAGTGGGCCCCATCGCTGGAGAAGATTGCACAGTCGTAGATGGAGTCATTCCCAATATCGGTTCAGGGGATGCTGCTTGTGCCGGCGTCAAAGGTTTGATATCCGCCAAGTCTCGCAGTGCACCCTTCAGAGACTCAGGAGCTGCGGTTGTCTGCGCGGAGGACACGGGACGCGAAGCCGGTGACAGCGTATCATGCTTCCTAGGCGAATGAGAACCTGACGGTAATTCCGAAGATATCGACGACAAATGTTTTCCGTCAACTGTGCTAGACGTCGCGACCGCAGGGGCAGGTCTCGACTTGCGCGTATTATTCTTTAATGCGCCACCCGGTCCAGCGAACAATGATGTTCCCTCCGTCTCAGAGTCGTCGGCCTCACCGCCCATCACACTTGCCGTTCCGAACGAAACACTCCTTTTCTTCTTATTGTATTTCTCGTCTATCACCTTAGAAACTCGTATGATATCACCTTCTTTCAATCCAAGCATGCGCATCACTGAAGGTGTAATGTCTGGTAATACGGCCTCGTCCATTTGATCTTTCTCGAAATTAATTGCGTACCGCTGGCAATTATTGACCTCGACTCCGCAGCTCAAAAAGAAATCAAACCAATCGAAGTCAGGTCTCAAAGGTCCTTTTGGAAACTCTTTTGCCTTAGTACCGGTAGCTTGCGCGGCTACCACACCGAGTTTCGACGACGATCCATCTGGTTTCGCACTATCAAGTGATATTCCTGTCATACCTTCGACGTATTCCAAATCTTCTACGGACATCTTGCTAGCGGCAACTGCAATTTTGACACCATTGACTTTGTGCAGCTGAATCTTTCCATCAGCACATCCGACGAAAGCAGCCTCCACCTTAAACGTTCCCGTTCGGTCTGTCCAAGTTCGTATTTTACTCGGATCTGGCTCTAATTAATCCTATATTAGATCTAGCAAAAGCATCCACCAACGTCTACTTACTTGGCTTAGCAGGAGTAACTGGCGGATGCGATACTTCAGATTCGCGAGATTCGCGATGCTTGCGAGCAGGTTTTTTGGGTTTTTCTTCTTCCTCATGTCGTAACGAAGACGACCGCATCGGTTTCTTGATCACCTCGATATAGCTACTCGGCACGACACCTTCCTTACCAGACAATGAATGCTTAATCATCCACCACTCATCACTCTTCTGATCATCTAAAATAAATACATCATCCCCTTCGCGAATTGTGACTTCGTCGTCCCCTTGAGCATCGAAGTCATAGAGAGCCTTTCCGTATTTTTGTCCACCAGGAACCGATGCTTCAATCACTTCACGCAGTCCAGTAGCTTTCTTCGCTCCAACTAGTTCACCAATCGCTAATATGATTTCAGAGGCAGTTTCCTTTGACCCCGCATGCAAATCCATTGAAACAGATGGATGCTCAAATTCCAAAAACACATGCTTTTTTTCTGAATTATAGCTGATAAGGTTGGTAATAGACCATTGTTGTGGAGACGCTGTCGCTCGTTCAGGTGAAAACAAAATGGAGCCATTACCGATTGCCAAGGTAGCTTTGTGTCTCTTACGCTTTGAATCAACTTCCTGAACATTCCAGGTCAAAAATCCAGCATTTGACTTCTTAGAATATTCTTCCGACGCGACGGATGACATTCGCGGACGTGACGGGAGCCTTGGAGCAGGTTCCTCATCGGGCTCTTCGTCGTCATATTCAGGTTCATGTTCTCTATATCTGGTATATCTATTATCCGCTAAAGCCTCCGCGTCATGTTCGTTGTAATAACTAGGTTGCGCATATGGCGTCGGAGCTGGCTGTGGCTGCGGTGCAGGTCGATATTCTTTTGGTGGGGAAGTTACAGCTGGTGTGGTAGGAGCACTAGCCTGCTTCGCAATAAGAGCAACCGCAGCCTCTTCGGAAATAAACTCTATATAGTTGGAAGGCGCAAATCCATATTCGTCGCGGACTCCTACAAGCACCCAATCGGGATCGGACGTGTCGTAAACATCCAGGACCTCATCTTCTTTGAGATTGACCTCTTCATCAGTTTGTCTGTCATAGTCGTACATTGCTCTGGCCTTGCCCGATACCGTCATCTATTTAATTATTAGCATCAAATCATCGGAGATACACGCTAGTTCAAGTAAACTTACCGGTTCAATATAGTTGCTAGGAACTAAACCGCTAGGCTCATCCTCCTCTTCTCCCACCATCCGCTTCTTGGCCTTCCACCAGTCATCCTCTGTCGATTTTTCAAGGATATAGAGGACATCGCCTTCTACTAGTGATAACTCTTGAGAAGCTTGAGCTGTGTAAGGATATATCGCCACATAAATGGCGATAAATAGCGACGGCATGTTGACAGGTTCCGTTCCAACAAGAACTAGCGCGGCGTTTCCAAACACTAGCTAACCCAAGTGCAATATCAAAGCAGCGATAAGACTGATAATGCTGACTTGTGCACTATCGATGAGTTAGATGCCTTGACAGCGCTGTAGGCGCTATAAGGGGCGGAAGTGGGCGGAGTCGATTCGTTTGATATGGAGACCAACACGACATGGACAGGCGAAATGTGTTAGCGCGGGTGCAAACGTTAGGTACCAGCCCCTTTTCTAGTAACTCCCTACAAAAGCAAACACTGACAAATTTTCTATGCGCCCGATTTATGGAACCGGTGTTGCCAATATTTTAGTCATTGACATTCATCACCCCAATGGCTCGTCCCAGTATAAGGTGTGCATATAGCACACTATCTGGATCCCTATTTCTGGCGGAACGACCGGCAATAGTGTCGAGCTTTTCTCAATGGTCTCGGCAATTTACTACCGGCGTAACACATATGTCATCGGACACAGTCCCGTCCGCGACATTGCCGATGTTCTCACAAAATATGAAAGTAAACGAAACAATTTCCAAGCCTACGACTTCAGATTTATTGCGCGCGTTTCCCACGAGTGGTCATGTTAACCATTCAATGGTGACACCGTTATATGCGACAACTCGCATACACAAGAACTCTTTCTTGGTCACAGTTGGTGATGTCGTTACATTGCCGTATCGCCTAAAGGATGTTGAAGTCGGCGACATTCTCAGGCTTACACAAATTGAGACTCTGGGTTCTCGCCAGTTTACGTGGAAAGGGGACCCATTTATTGACGAGCGATGTGTAATAAAGGCGCGAGTTGTGGAACATACGAAGGAACCGATGAGAGTGAAAATACGCACAAAGCGGAGAAACAGAAGAGTCAAGCATATTAAAAGCAAGCATCACTATACGGTCATTATTATTTCAGAAATCGGCATTGATCCATTGCAAGAAAAACAATTTGTCGGAGCTACATGAGAAAGTAAGGTACTCATATGTATATATTTAGTATTTGCAACAATTTATG